AAAAACTAAAAAAAATATTTAATATTTTTTAAATATTAAAAAATAAAAATAAAACCTTAGTCGGTCCCTTCCCCCCTCTCTCTTCCCCATCTTCATCTTCTTCCTAATCTTTAACACAAAAAAAAAAAAGAAAAAAAAAATTTGAAAACCCAACCCCCCTACCCCACCCGCCTCCTCCCCTAAGCAGAAAGAGGAAGAACCAAAGAAAAAGGAGGAGGAAAAAAAAAAAATTGGAAACTGCAACCCAGAGAAAAAAAAAAAAAAAAAAAAAACCCCAGAAGAAGAAGGAGGAAGAGGAAGAAGAAAACCCATCAACTCAACCCCCCCTCCTGGCCCGTCCGCAGAAGAAGAAGAAGAAGGAGGCAAAGAGGAAGAAAAGGAGAAGGAGAAAAAAAAACCCAAACTGCAACCCAAAAGAAGGAAGAAGGAAGAAGAAGAAAAAAAATTAAAACACCCCATCCTGCGGAAGAAGAAGAAGAAGAAGGAGAAAAGGAAAAAAAAAAAAAAAACCCAACCCAACCCAATTCGCCCCCCCAACCCAACGCGCACTCATCTCTCCTCCCCCATCTTCATCTTTTTCCCCTTTTCCTTCTACCTGCAACCCAGAAACAAAAAATAAAAAACTAAAAAATTCGAACCCATTTTCGGCCCAAGAAGAAGAAGAACCCTCTCTGTCTTCTCCCCATCTTCATCTTCGTCCCCTTTTCCCTCTACCTGCAACCCAGAAACAAAAAAAAAAACAAAAAACAAAAAGAAAAAAAAAGTCATACCCAGTTTCGGCCCAAGAAGAAGAAGAAGAAGAAGAAGAAGAAGAAGAAGAAGAAGGAGAGAGAAGAAGAATGAAAAAAAAAAAAAAAAAACTGACAAATCCAGTTTCAGCCCAGGAGGAGAAAAAGAAGATGATGAAGAAGAAGAAGGAGGAGAGAGAAGAAACAAAAAAAATTGAAATTGGTGCGGGTGAAGGAAAGGGGATGCCGTACCCCTAGGAAATTTTTTTTTTGGGGTAAAGTACAAAAAACTACCTCAACTATTGGTGTCACGACACTTTCATACCTCATCTTTTAAAATTGACAATGTCATACCTCATCTTTAGAATTTGATCCAATGTTATACCTTCCGTTATTTGGCCGTTTACTTTTCAGTTAAATGCTAACGTGGCTTGATTTGTGGCCCACTTTCTATTAAAATATCATTAAAATATTATTAAAAACTAAAACCAAAATTATTTAATATTTTTTAAATATTAAAATAATAAAAAAAAGTAAAAGAAAAAAAACACCCTCATTTCGTCCCTCCTCTCCCCCTCCCCCCTCCTCTCTCTTCTCCCCATCTTTATCTTCTTCCCCCCACCTGCAAACCCCACAAAAAAAAAAAAAAAAAAAAAAAATTGAAAACCCATCAACACACCCTCTGCGGAAGAAGAAGAAGGAGAAGGAGAAGGAGAAGGAGGAAGAAGAAGAAGAAGAGGAAAAAAAGGAAGAAGGAAAAAAAAAAAATTCTGCCCCCCCCCAGCGGCGCGGAAAAAGAAGGAGAAGGAGAAGGAGGAAGAAGAAAAAGAAGAAGAGGAAGAAAAGAAAAGAAAAATTTTGAAAACCCATCAAACCCCCCCTTCCGTGGAAGAAGAAGAAGGAGAAAGGAGAAGGAGAAGGAGGAAGAAGAAGAAGAAGAAGAAGAAGAAGAAGAGGAAAACAAGGAGAAGGAGGAAGAAAAAAAAAAATTTTGAAAACCATCAACCCCCCTTGCGGAATAAGAAGAAGGAGAAGGAGAAGGAGGAAGAAGAAGAAGAAGAAAGAGGAAAAAAAGGAGGAAGAAAAAAAAAAAAATTTGAAAACCCATCAAACCCCAAATCCACCACTCTCATCCATTCTCCACATCCTCCACCTTTTCTGCGCACCCATCTTCCCGTCGACAGGATTTGGGGTTGTTCTTTTTTTTTTTTTTTTTTTTTTTTTTTTTTTTTTCTGGGTTGCAAAAGGGAGAAGAGAGGGTGGGACGGTGGCAAACTGAGTGTGGGTGTGGGGGAAGACAAATTGGAATATTTTTTTTTTTTTCTCAGGGTTTACAGGTGGGGGAAGAAGATGAAGATGGGGGGAGAAGAGAGGGGAGGGGGGGAGGGGAAGGACGAAATGAGGATTTTTTTTTTTAAACTTTTTATTATTATTTTAATATTTAAAAATATTAAATAATTTTTTTTTTATTTTTAATAATTTTTTAATAGAAAGTGGGTCCCGAATCAAGCCACATTAGTATTTAACTGAAAAGTAAACGGCCAAGTAACGGAAGGTATAACATTGGACCAAATTCTAAAGATGAGGTATGACATTGTCAATTTTAAAAGATGAGGTATGAAAGTATCGTGACACCAATAGTTGAGGTAGTTTTTTGTACTTTACCTTTTTTTTTGTTTTTTTATTCTTAATTTTTAATATTTAATTATTAAAAATATATTTAATTATTTTTTAATCCAGCTGGATTAATAAGTGGTCCCCGTCTCTTGCCATGTCAACATTTAACAGAAAAATTGACGAAGGTATGACATTGTCAATTTTAAAAGATGAGGTATGAAACTGTCGTGACCCCAATAGTTGAGGTAGTTTTTTGTACTTTACCCAAAGAAAAAGGGAGTTGAAGAGAAGGATTGAATATAATTTTACTTGGTCTACTTTAGGTGTCTTATATTATACAGCTATCAAGTTTTGGTAATGGCTTAGGTTTTGATATCACCATTTGTTCCCCTTGATTTCATACTTGCGTCCGTGTGTGTTATTGGTGAATGTATGCTAGGATTGATGACGCCTTTATTCTACATGTTCATTTGTTAACTGCTTGTTGGGTGTGAAGTTTTTGTTCGAAAGTCGAATGATTTAATTTTGATGTTTATTTGAGCCTAGAGTGACCTAGGAAGTTGAGTGCAGAATTTTGCCTTTTGGTTAAGCTTACGCAAAGGTCATTATATAGTTAAGTTTCAAATATGTGTTGTCTGGCTTTATAGTTACGCAGCACCTAAGACTATGAAGGTTTGGGGGAACATGGATTACTCGTAAGATAGTAGTTTAGCGTTCCTTATCTTTCTTGAGCTTTCTTACCCATGTATGCTTGTATCCTACTAATGCAGATGTTTAATCACCTTTGCGTTTTTGCTTTAATTAGCCAATGATCATGTCTTCTTGTATCTTTCTTATGTCCTTACTTACATGTATAATATCATGCTCTAGTTACTTAATTATTTGCCACTATCTAATAATGTTATTTTATATTTTCACTAGACATGGACGAAAGAAAGATTATGGCATGCTTTATTGTTAAGTTGTGGTACTTGAATATTGTGACTTGGTTGATGATGTGGTTCATGATGAATCATAATTCAGCTAGAAGGCAGAATCAGTAACTTGCACTTAGAAATCGCATATTTGTTAGGAGAATGGTAGGGTCAACCTATTTAGACAGCATAATAAGATATGATGAGGTTCATTGTGTGAACCAAATTAGAATGGATAGAAGAACGTTCCACTATTTATGTCGGATGCTCTGTGACCACGATAGAGTAAAATTGGATGGTGTGGTGACAATGGAAGAACAAGTTTGCAAGTTTTTGCATATATTTTCACATCATGTAAAGAATTGTACAATTGGGAGTAGGTTTTGTCGATTGGGGGAGACCATAAGTACGTATTTCGATTCCATTTTACATAGAGTGTTAAGGCTACAAGGTAGACTTTTGAAAGTGCCAGAACCCATTCCTAATGCCTACCCAGATCCTAAATGGAGTTGGTTTGAGATATTCTTCATATTTTATAAAAATTACTTCTAAAATTAATGTAATTAAATATATTGAGCTTACTAATGTTAATGACATTTTTTAGAATTGCTTGGGAGCATTGGATGGGACTTACATTAATGTTCATGTCCATGAGCGAGATAGACCAAGATACTGATCAAGGAAGGGAGAGACTGCGACCAATATGTTGGGAGTTTGTAATCTGGACATGCATTTTATATTTGTGTATGTAGGTTAGGAAGGGTCGACCTCTAATTCTAGAGTACTCCAAGATGTGATAAGTAGACCATCAGGATTAAAAGTTCCCACAGTGTTTATATTAGTAATTTGAATTCTCAATTTTCTTCTATATATTGTAATATACATTTTTTGGTGTGTTAGGGTGTTACTACCTTATGGATGGTGGGTACACAAATGGTCTAGGATAACTTGCACCGTATAGGGGAATGCGTGACCATCTCTCGGAGTGGAGAAATAGAAGACTCCCGATTAATCATGAGGAGTATTTCAATATGAAACATGCTGCAGCTAGAAATGTCATTGAGAGATGTTTTGGACTACTTAAGATACGTTGGAGCATCTTAAAAGGTCCATCATTTTTCCCAATTAAAATACAACTTAGGATTATGATAGCCTGCTACCTATTACATAATCTTATTAGAAGACATATGTCAACTGATCCAATAGAAAATGAAATTCTAAACTTGGACGAATCTGAAAGTGATGATGATGATGAAGATATGATTGAGACTATTCAACCTACACAAGAATGGACTGCGTAGAGAAACACTGTGGCTTTGAATATGTACAATGAGTGGCATGCACAAGTGTGATTTGATTAAATTTTCTTATATATGCATGTTGTGATTTGGTTATGGTTTGTTATTTGAACAAATAGTGATTTCTTATGTATTGTGGGACAAAGTGTGATTCGGTTATTATACTTTATTCGAACAAAGTGTGACCTAGTTATGTATTTAGTTAAAAAGTGTGATGGTTTGCTTATGGTTTTTATCACTTACTATTAATTATATGCACTATTCATTATATGCTATCTTATTGTGTATGTAATTATAGGAATGGAAAGTGAACAAAGAATTCAACCAAAAGGAAGATTTGTCAAATTTTTTTTTCTTCCCTTTTCTTATCCGGTTTAGTATCGAACACAGTATAAATAATACGGTTATTAATTAGTCTAATACTGCACCAAACGCCCGACTAATTTAGTCAGTACTATCCAATGACTATTTATCATATCTGACATAAATAGTCAGTACAGTACAAGCTGCCAAACGAGACCTTAGTCTCATTAAAGGCAATCTTTGTTTGCGCCAAACACGGGGTAAGACTCCTATCTAAGGTAGTCCAGTCTAATGAGATTTAAAGAGACCAAACAAATGTGCCCTTAGATTTTAAACAAAAGAATTCAACGTTCTTTCTTATGAGCAAAAGTGCTTTTCTAAGTAGTCAACATCAAACGGACTCTCACTAAGAGGATAGAACACACTACTAGAATAATTCACATCACCCCATTTCCACCCTTATTTTAATATAGTTATCCCCATTTATACTGGTGTCACTACATCACGTCATGCAATAAGATTATAGTATACAAGCCAAGATTCTGGACATTCACCAATAAATCTTGAAAGAGAAGATTGCACAGGTTGTATATGTGATCTCATGCTCCACACCTTGCAACCGCAAGCCATTATTTTGCATATATATATGCAGTATTTATCTTAGACCATTCTTTGCATATATAATTATCGATCATATTCGTGAATGGCATTATAATGATCGTGCTGGTTGAAGATCAAATCAAAGACCAATTTAACATGACCCCACCACGAAATGGCAAAATCTACAACACCTAAGCTGACAGCGTGACAGAAGCAGCTTTGTTTGAATGCCTCATGAAAAGTAGGGTTTGAGCTAGGCGAAACCTGGCACGCAGGGTTTTGCTTTTGCTTAGGGTTGGAGTACTTTCGATGGCTGCTTTGAAGCTACAAATTCAATTGGGAAAGGAAAGTAACTTGAAGATTGAATTTCAACGGTGGGATTGGATTGGACTGTGATGCAGGCAATGACTTCATCCACGACAGAGACAATTGAGTGGTTTCTGCCTGTGATGAAGCAAGCAAGATGAGTAGCTGTACAAACAATACTAGAGATACACACGGTTGACGATTATAATATCTAAAATTATTTCTAAAATATATATGGCTGGTCCAAAAATTAATATTTAAAAATTATTTATAAAATATACGTGGCAGGTCCAAAAATATAGTTTAGAAAATTAATAAATATCCCCTTGCAATTTTTTATTAAAAACTCTTAGCTAATTTTTTATTATTATAAGGACAGTTCTTTTATTATTAAGAATATTTTATTTTGAATTAAAAAACTCTCATAGTCTCGTTAAACGTGACTCCATTTTTATCTTTGTAATACACAAAAATGTCCTTAATAATAAGAAAAATGCCTAAGTGTTTTTTCATTTAAAATATATTGTGGGAGACTTAAATAGTTCTCTCTTTTTACCCCGGATATTCTAAAATTCTGATTTCCCATTGGTAATTGACTATGAATTAACGATTGATTTGGAACTGAACTAGCCCAAGCTTCCTATATCATATGACAGCAAAAGAGTTTCGCGCGTATTGTTATTAGTGGAATAAATTTACTTGGCATGTTGTCCAAATCAACTCGTATAAGGGAAAAAGACTGTTAAGTTGTCAATTTTAGAGTTAATCTAGAAAAGTTTTTGACTGTCATACTTGTAAATGTTTATCCTCTATAAATATATATAATAACAAAAGCATTTGATTACTGACATAAAAATTGATTTTCTTGGTTTTCAACCTTTGATATTTTTTTTTATTTTAGAATGGTACTTAAAGTCATAATTTTAAGATACTTTCATACCTCTGTTAAAATTTCTGTTAAATCAATGGTTAATTGGTGATGTGACCTCTATATAGACCTCTCACTCCCTGCAAATCCACCCTTACCCCTCCATCTTCAGCCGTGCGCTGCCAGATCTGCGGCGAGATTGAAGCTGTGGCACGCCTGCGCCGGCGGCGACGTCGATTTCTCCTCCGTCTTGGTCAGGATCCCGTCGCTTGTTCTCTGCGGAGTGGCTGCTATCAAGTTCATGGCGGGCCTGGAAACTGACGAGTTGTTCGCCAGGAGGATGAACAGAGAGGCATGTGCTGGAGAAGAAGACGGTACAGATGCAGATGGGTCTAGGAAGAGCCGGCATCTTTTGCCATGGTGGGGCTCAAACGTTCGAGCTCACGGGGCTGTCGGATAGGAGAGGAGGGTTGGGTGGGTGCAGAGAAGAGAAGGAAAGGAGGGAGAATGGATGGAGTGTCGGGGGGAGGGGTGGCGGGAGGTAGAAGACGACCCTTTAAAAAAAAAATATATATATATATATATATATATTTTTTTTAATTATTTATTTAATTTTTTTAATCCATGTGGGCTCTATATTGACACATGTTATCCAATTATTGTCCATGTGGGCACCACGTCATCATTTAACGGTTGATTTAACAACAATTTTAACGGAGATATGAAAATATCCTAAAATTATGACTTTAGGTACCGCTCTAGGATTAAAAAAAACATGATATATTAAATATTGAAAATCAAGAAACTTTAGCGTAATAAAATGAGATTAACCCTAAAAATAAAGAACCAAACTGTAAAGAAAAAAAAAATTAAAAGTAAGATACTTTCCATTTATCAACTTTTATAAAGATTGTCTTCTACATGTTAATGATGCAACTTGGGTTGGGTACGTAAATCCAAATCCGTCCATGCCCAACTTGATTTTAAACCCAACCGAGGCGAAATAGAATAAAGAAAAAACCCATCCAAATCCAACCCAACCTCAAACCGATTATTTATTGTGTTGGGTTAGATTGATGCCTTGCTGCCGATGTTAAACCACAATTTGATTTTGAGCTCAAGTTCGCTCATGCACGTATTGCCAATCCAACTTTATACATTGATAAGGAATGAATATACTTGAAGTTCTTGTTAGTTTTCATATGGATAATGAAGGATAGTGTTACTTTTTAAATTTCTCTTGGTTGAAGCTTTAGTATATGTGTTGTAATGTAATTTCAATTTTGCACAGTTGAAACATTAGAAATGACCTCCAAGTTGTTTGCTTTGACTTTTGTGCGGATGAAGATGTGTAATTGAATATTTTTAACTAAGATAAACATTATTTTGTTCAAAATTTAAAAAATTATGCAAAATAAGTTGTTAGAAGATTGAACTCGATAAAGTTGGGTGAACCCAAATCCAACCAAAGTAAGATTGGAACTAATTAAAACCAAAACCCCACTAAACTTGCACGAATCCGAACCAAACCCAAGCCCAAATTATGAAGATTGAGTTAGGGTTGGGTTGACCATCCAACATGTATATTATTCATGTATATATATATATATATTGTGTTCATGCATATGTTCGGTAATTTGTAACTTGAAATTAAGAAGAATATTTGGCTGCACCTAATGGGACGAGGATTCTCTTCGGATCTTTTTTGTGAGGATCCGAAAATCAATCAATCATGTCTATTTATTGTACATTGTGCGGTCGGTTTTTATTAAATACTATTTATATTTAATTTTAAATAAAAAAATTCAAAATGATTTATAGCCGTATAATGTACGATAAACGGACATGATTAATTGATCATCGGGATCCCCACAAGAGGAATCCGAAGAGGATCCTATTACCACCTAATGTGCACCTTCTTATCCATTCAGTGTGATTAACAATGTTTCAATACATTTGATAATCAGAACAATATACTATTTTAATCACTAATTTTGTTACCAATTAAGATAATTAATTTGATGTGATATATACACACGTATATACACTGCGAAAGGTCACAAGGTGTGATAATGCAGGAAACAGAATACTGTTTAACTTGTTACAATTAAAAAGTTATTTTTTTTACTGTAAATAACGTAGACATATTGTAAAATCAAATAAAAGAGAACTAAAGCACAGTAATTTTGTACCCTTTTCAAAAGAAGAGACCAAGGTGTGATTGGTAAAATGATTCTTACTAATGTCTATATTAAGGAAGTACGGAAAACGTTTAGGATAATGCTAGGAAGATTATTTATTTAAATTATATTTTATAAATTATTGATAATTAAATTATTATTTAAATATTAATTAACGTTCATATTTTTTATTAGTAACACGACACATTATTTAAAAGTGTGCTCTAAAAAATTGTTCAGCTAACATTACTCATCAAAGTTATATCATGTCAAAGATTGGACAACCCAACCGTATTTAGACAGAGATTTTGATCTTGGGTCTAACCTTTTGTTTTATGAATAAATAATAATTTGGCGTAGACAACAAGCTAAACACCCAATCAGATTTGATCAAACACATGAAAAGAAAAAAAAAAAAGCAATTAGATGAAGACAGCAACACAAAACCGACTGCTACGAGAAAACCGGTGCTGATCAAGGCCACCAGTATTTGAACAAAAATTCAAACGTTTTAAATACAAAGCCGAACAATAAATTAATCATGTTCAGAAAGCTCCATGAAATCACTTATCTTGTTCCGAAAGTTCTTAACCAAACCAAACCCTAATAAAATAATAGTTAATAAACTTAGTTTTTTTTTTTTAAGTAATTAATAAACTTAGTAAAATAAACAATAATTACGAAGTTTGGTATGATGTTAATCAAAAGATGATAATGCCGTGGGTTTGGATAGAGCTTTCAAGGTCGTCGTGCCGGCTTGCGTTGAAGTCTCTTGGCTTCAAGAGCTGGACTCCAAATTCCCTATCCTATTTACGCCACGTCACCAATTCCATATCCCATTCCCACACAGCCTTTGAATTAAAACCCTCACCACCTTCAGCCCAAATCAATCCTGAAACTCCCCAAAAAAACAAGAACAAAAAAAGGAAATTTATTAGCCTTTGTTTTTCTCCCTTTTGGAAACCAAAAACTGCAAAAGTAAATGGAGGGTTTGATTCCTTTTGTGTACAAGGCCATAGTGGAATACAAGAATGGAAGACAAGGAGGTGGTCATCATGTGTTGAACTCGTGGTTCAGCGACTCGCCTTCAGCTTCCTATATCCGATTGCCTGGCGACTCAGGCCGGTTCCAAGCATCTGATTTCCAGCTGTTTTCTGGGACTTCGCCAGCTTCTTCAACTGCCCAAATGATGATATCATCTGGAGTTCAATCTCCACTTCGTCATCGAGTTGCTAGTAACTAATGGTACGACTTATGAAAGTATGAACTAATTAGTACGTACGTGGCATGCATGGCTGAAGAAAGCTGAAGGTGTGCAAACTTGTCAATTTATATGGTGGTGGTGAGCTGCTGCGTTAAGTGGAATTTGTGTATGATAACCTTTATTTTCGTTCAATCTTTATTTTCTTTGTTTTTATGGGTTTAATTTAGTTGAACTTCGAAGCAAATAAGCGTGTGAAAACCAAAGGGGCCATGTGCTGTTTGCTTTGTTGTTCTTGTTGTTGTTAAGATTTGTGTGAAAATGGCTCAAATCTCAAAATGCAAATGGTGATTGTAATGTTTAAGAAAAGTCTACGTGTTCAACAGTTAATTGGTCGACAGTTGTTTGTAATTATCTCTTCATTATTTTATCTTCCCTTTGTATTTTTCCTTTGTTTGACTTCCTTACATCTTGGATCATCTGAGCTTTGATGGGGTCAGACTTAAAAAACTAAGCGAAGTGTTTTTTTTTTTTTTTTTTTTGAGAACTCACTTTCAACTTTAAGTACATTCAATATAAATATAAACTTTTTTTTTTTTTTTTGTTGAGCAAAATATAAATATAAAATTTAAAGATTAATAAAAGTCATCCTATATACTTTTTATGACTTTTTACTGACAAGGAATATAGGGGCGCGGCAAAGTGGTATTCAATTATGACCGAAGAGTTTACAAAATTCCAATATATGCTTATAAATATATAATTGGAATCATTTGGTTTTTTAATCTTTATTAGAAAATCATCTCTAAAAAAAATCATACAAATCATAAATTATGTAGTCGTTCAAATGTTATCAAATAAATTGAAGGTTCATGATGAATATATTACTTGATACTGACCACTAATTTTTTCTCCACATTTAAATGCATATACTTGGTGGTTAGAATTTTCTATTGAACCACATTAGTATTTCCTTGTCAACAAAGATTCAACTAGAAAAATCCGCTAAGCCATCAATTCAATTATGCATCTTTCTATACTGACACAATGGAAATATGATCGTTCTGTTTCATGGGAGCTGCAACAAGTAAAATATAATCATATGGCTAATTCCCTATATCTATGATCGTTAATTATGGAAAAAGATCATCTCCGGATCTCTTCCATCAAATCCTATTAATCAACAAATCCTTGAGAAAGGGCCATTGCCACCATCACCTCCCCCATTGTCATTCTAATGATTGCACCTACACCACCAACCAAACACGGGTAAAAAAGCACCATCAACATTTAATTCGTAAGAACCTTCAGGGGGCGGTATCCAATGATAGTTATTTTTGTCTGGAACATGTACAGGTCGCTTATTGACTTGACAAAATTTCCCCATTGTCTTCCGATCGTATATAACCTCATTCAATTTATTTTTACTAGCAGAATTTCTCCGGAAACCTCAAAGCCTTCATAATTAATAGCAAACAAGAAAGGCCATTTCATCCGGTCATACGCTTTTGCCATAACTAGTTTCGTAGCAACCTCTTGGGAGACTCCTCATTCGTCCTCTTTCCCATGAACTTCTAGATTTCATGAGATCATTCCATCCGATCATCTAACTAATCAACCCTTAACATGTTGCACGAGTTCAAGTTGAATCCAGTTTGGGTAATCCAAGCTGCAACCCTAAACGGCATTGGAGTTTTTTTTTTAATAAGACAATAATCTATTTCAGGCATCGAGGATTTGTACTATGTTACACAATAAGTCAGCCATAATAATTAAATATCAAGCATGAGATCTTCAGCTTACAAGTAGAGATAATTATCACTAAAACATAATAATTGTTATAAACTTCTTATTTAAGTGTGATTATGTAAATTCTAGATTAGATTTGATTCTAGTTATTCTTCCCTATTAGGACTTGTATTCCTTGGAGGGGAAGGATTTCTTCTCTCTCTTATTACTATAAATAAAGGCACTACATAGGGGAATAACACATTCTCTACACAACCCTACAAACACATCTCTCTCTATATTCTCTCTGTGCCTCCGGCCCCCTTCCCCTGTCAGTTAAATATACACCACAACACGTTATCAGCACGCTCTACCACTACACTTAGGAATTTGATGTAGAAGTTTTTTGCATCAAACCAGCTCACCAATATCATCACCCAATCATGTTCTTTCAAAACAACTGGTTTTTATCTCGATATTTTTGCAGCCCCGATAGCATGAACATTCACCACAATGCATGACCCAATTTTACGTTTTTTGAATTTTAGATTCTACATAAATTGTGTATGCATTATATCTATAATTGTTGAATTATGTGAATTTGATATTGCCATGAATTGAATCAAATATCTACTCATGCATTAAATTATTTTATATGAATATGCATTGAATTAATCTGGAATTGAAAAAAAAATTAAAAGATTTTTTTAGGGTTTCGCTGAACACCCATCCATGTTGATGGGCTTCCTTCCCTGAGCCGAGCCACGTTAAGCCACCAACCCTAGGCATACAGCCTAAGTGGCTGAGTCGGAGCCATAGGCTCCTGGTTTTTGAAACTCAGAAAAACCTAACGCCGTCAATGGCATCTCTACCATCACAGGTGAGCCTGCAACCCAACCATTGACCTTTGGTCACTGTCCCTAATGGCCTGAAGCTCATCCATCGATGTACATTAACTGAGATTCCTTCGAATCTCGTCGGATTTTTTTTTGAAATTCCGATTCGAATTTCTAGGGTTTTGGTTGAAACGTCAAGATTTCTCCATCCCAGTTCATATTCATGATCCCTGTTGACTCACGAACTTGCCCCATTTTTGTCCCAAAACACGGCCACCTGAAGCGGTGATGCCGGTCTTCTTCCCCTACGGTTGG